TTCCAGACCACAGTTATCCAGTTACAAATGTTGAGACCCCCACCCAGGTATCCTCTGGGGAATTTCCACTCAGCATTAACTCCTCTTTGTCTTACTTTCACAGTTCAACTGGGGGAGGGTCTCCTAAAATCTACTCCTAAGTTCATGACACAGTCAGGCCTTTATTTATATCCAGGGCAGTGTCACTGTCTCACAATTCTATATCCTATCTAACACATTCCTAAACTCTAAAATAAGCTAAACATTCCTACACATGCTAGATAATCAATCTACCTACCCTACAAAATGCGCACAAGTTGCTGTAAAACTTGCATGCTATAACTACTCCAATCACTTTTACTCATGCTCAGAACTCTAACAGAGTTTGTGATGTTCGGAGAGTCATGTAAATGCATGTCATTTATAAAATGATTATTAACGTCACACCAACGACCACCTTAACTTAAAAACACACTAAGCTTTCCAGGGAAACTGATTGGCTGTTTAAGCAGGTGTTATCTGCATTCATTCGCTGATCCCTCTTAGGTGCCACAGAGTCTCACTCTTCAGTCGCTGAGTTGGAGCTTGGCACTCCCTTGTTGGAGGAGGGTGCTCTTTTCACCCCTCACCCTCTCGTTCCAACGCAGCTTTATGGTTATTGCTGTGGTTCTGGAATCTTCTCATGATGACTAGTAGGGCCCCAAACCGCACGACCTTTGACCTCAACCACTGCCTGGGCTGTCAGCTCTGCTATGAATGGTCCCTGCTTCTTGCTGGGTCTCTGAAGACTTCTGATCAGCACCCAGTCTCAGTCAGGAGATTCCACCCTTGGGATGATTTCTTCCAGCAATACTCTGGCTGCTGCACCTGTATCTCTTTACTAGGAGGAAAAACTTCTAACCATTTGGAAAACATGTCAACCATCATCAAACCACATTTTTCTTTCAGTTCAGTGAAGTTTACTTATAGATCATCAAAGCCTTATCTGAACATGGACTTAACCCCCCTGTAGAGGTTTAATACCTGTACATGAACTGTTAATCCCACAAATCACAGTAAAAAGCCATGGACAACATCAGGGCTTCTCCTCCGGAGTAATTTCACTTCAGCCCTGTAACCCTGTGTTAAAGAATAAAATCAGCATTAATGTCATGTTAAGTGGGCTCTAACTCTTGGCTCTTCCTGGAGCCTGCATCCACACCACAGTTACCTAGAAACCAAAATCGGTGAGTAAATACAAACTTCACACTTACAAACAACTGTAGGGTCATAAGAGTAATAAGGCATCCAACACCACTTACAAAAGTGCGCCATATGCAGTTTATTTCCCCCAAATCATTAAAACACTACTGTTACCATAATTTGCCCAAATCATGGATCATCCCATGTGTTTAATTAAAACTACTGTAACCAGTAACTTTTCTTAAGTAATGTCACTCACTTGTTTTCACACTTTGAGCTCAACACCTTAAAATGAATAAAGATATGATAATGAGCCCCACACTAAGATGTTCTGTAATCACTACACAACCTGCTTCATTTCACTCATGTCTGCCTGTGTGATGCCAGAACCCTTAGAGAGGAAAAAAAAAAAAACCATTAGCCAGTGGTGTGTCCTCGCAGGTCGGGCCTGGATCAACAGATTCCAGAGGTGTTGCTGTAAATCATGTGGTCAACCTTCCTAGTCTGTGAAAGGAGTGATACTGATTTTAACACAGTATGTGTTTCACATTGAATACACATTTTCCCCCTGTAACATTTAACATTTGATTGATTGATAATACTTTATTTATCCCGAGGGAAATTGGGTTAAGGCTGCCAGCCGTGCCAGCGCCATCTTACCCTTCCAACCATACATACATTACACAAAACATCACATGGGGAAGACAGGTCAGAGAGGTATAACAATGGAAAATGCACCACATGAGGAAAGATAAGGAGAAAAAAATAACTCGTGTGTGTGTGTGTGTGTGTGTGTGTGTGTGTGTGTGTGTGTGTGTGTGTGTGTGTGTGTGTGTGTGTTTGTTTAATGGCTGTGTGCGCAGTGGAGCTGCAGATTCAGCAGAGCATGTCCTTAAACCTGCCTTTCCTTCACATTTCTCTGTTTATGTGTGACATATTTAATATCATTTTCATCACTACTTATTAACACTTTCCCTCTCTTATTCTTCTATCCACATTTTAACACATCTCTTTCCATCACTCTTGGTTATACACACACACACACACACTTCTCTTTACTGCATTCCTCAGTTTCTACACACTTTATACTGCATGTATTCTTTCCCATATTTCTGAAAGAGAAAAGAAAATCATGCAACCAAAACCTGGATTTGATCCTGCACTTACCACTGCAACAAGAATACCCACTTGAATACCCAAACTGAGTTTCTAGGAACCTGCACCCAATAATTGCAGCTGTAAGGAAGCGAGGATTTCCCTGTCGGTCCGATAGAAAAATCCTCCCAAATCAAAACAGCTCACCGTTGCAGATCCTTTGCAGTGCCTCTCTTGGTTCTTTTAAAAATTCCTGCATGTGTGATTCGGTGAAGCATACCCCCCGGTTCTCCCTTTTTGAAAACAACGGTGGGACTGAGGCAATTTTACCTCAGGATGGCCAGTCACCGCGTGCCCGTGATTCAGCAAAACTCACCGGAGGAATCCTGCCCGACAACGCCAAATTGTTGTGGAAAATTGAACAATAACCTCCAACACACCCAGCGAGCTTGATTTGAAGTGGGTTTGATAAACACATTGCAATGTGGAGAGAGCATCCCAGTGAAACACTAGGACCATCTCTGAATTGTGGCCACCGTCCTTACATCTTATATACAGAGACGCAGACAAAGAACATTCCACAAACTCACACGTTGGCCCCTCTCACGGGGGAGCTATACCTTCTCCCTCAGAGAGAATTATGACCTTGTTTTTTGCTTGGCCGTCACCTAAGGATTTACATCCCTGATACGCAGAAGGAGTCCCACTATCTGTTTAATGTCTCCCATTACAATGGCCTCACTGTGTTAACGTTCCACATGCATGTAAACTAGTGACAGGAGTGCTCTTACTATAGTAAAGTGATATTACTATAACTAATGTGATATGATTAAATATGTGATTAATAGATGAGAAAATAAATCTGCCACCACACGGTCTAGGTGCATCTGGTTCAGATATAGCGCTTTCTCAATGAAAGAAGCCAAGTTTTTTCAAAGGTTATTAGGTGTGCCAATGGCAGTTTAGGGTCTAACCAGTTTTATTTGGTCTGAGGTCTGTTTACACCCTGAGTAAGGCTCAAGTTGTCTTCCTGAAAGCGCTGTAACTGAGTTCAAGGATGCAATTCCACGGTTATCTCCTTCGATGTCATGTGCCAGCACAATGCAGAGCACTGTTTACGAACCTGGATACAGTGGCTCCCCTGAAAAAAGCCTGAAATCTTTGCTTGACTCCCTGGTATAACTGTGCCTGGCAAACCTGCGCCTTAAAGCAGATAAAACGTAAGCTTGAGAGGAAATGGCATCTCATTAAGTTAGAGCTTCATTTAGCCTGGAAAAAGAGTTTGCTGCCCTTGCAAAAAGTCCTGGTTGAAGAAAACAAGAACAACCCCAGGTTTCTTTTCAGTACTTTATCCAGGCTGACAAAGAGTCAGAGCTCTGTTGAGCCAAAAATTAATTAAACGTTAGCTTGCTCAGTGCAATGTTCAATACTGTTGATCACAACATTTTATAACAGATTATAGCATGCTGTAAGAATAGTAAAATAATAAATGTACTGTGCTGCAGTGGGTTGAATCATATTTATCTATTAGACTCTAATTTGTTCATGTAAATGGAGAGTGGAATCTTGGAGTCATTTTTTTGACCAGGGTATCTCCTTTATTTTGTATAATTTAAAAAATGTGTTTAATTATTTCTAAAATTAGAAACATCCTGTCTCAAAACTAGTTAATGAATTTATTACTTCTAGGCTGGACTACTGTAATTCATTAGTATGTGAAATTAAAATATTTTATCACAGTAATGCTGACTTAAAAAAAAATAGTGACGGTTTATTTCAGCATGTTGGCATCACAAGTGAATAATCTGATAACAAAAATATCATCACAGCCAAATCAACATACCCAGTGTACTTTACCACTCAGGCTTTGAGCCATCAGGCAAGTTTTTATGTTGAACCCTGCCCAATAAATGCCCCTGACATAGACTTAACTCCAACTCTGACCCTCAAACTGGCTTTTGAAAGAGTATAAAATATTAGGGTCAGCTAAAAAGTTGTAAGTTTGGAAGATTTATTGTACATCATGGGTCTAAATAAATTCTGACACCAAATATGCTGACAAGAGAACTTTTTTGTTTATGTGTATTTTATCTTTAGTTTATAGTGCCAGTTGACGTCAGTCACACATGTAGCCTAGACAAGCAGTTCGTGAAAAAGCGGGAACAAGGTCATAACTGTTCTTATTTCAAAACAATATTTTTACATATTTATAATATTTATACATAAACATTAAGTGAATAGGGAGTCTGTAATCTGTAGATATAACAAGGGTTACCGTGTCCACAAACGGGTTATCATAGATACAGTATGTAAAGTAATCATATTTATACTCTTATTAAATAGACTTCTTCACTGATGAATTAAAAATTCTGAGCGAATTACGTGATTTTGAAATCATGTGACATTCTGAAGAATGAGTGCTGCTCTTTTATGTTTTTTGCTAAAGCATAGGATTTTGATTGCACTGTAACAATGTCTATATTTTAGATTGCATCGCAACTTTTGCAGAAGTCAAGACTCTAAATACTCCTTCAGCCACAAATCCATTAGCTAAAAGTTGAAATTCAGTAAAACCTTTATCTGTCTCATTTATTAAATCTAATTATTTCCTCTGGTATCGCTATTCCTAAACAGGCACTTTTTTCTGCCTGGAAATGATCGTAAATTGCTGGTTCCTTTGAGGTATGTGAGGAATGAGAAAACCTGTCCAGCCGTAGATTTTTTTTGTGTCTTATCTACAATAGGCTCAGCCCCCTGTGCCACAAGGAGACTTAGACTGGTTATGAGACAAACAGAAAACAAAACAGTCAGGCAGAGACAATAGGAACGCAGTCCTGGAAAGGATTCAGAAAGGTACCAGAATACCCACACTGCCACCAGCTAAGCAGGTAATTAGTGTTTGACTTTGATTTTCATTGCTTAAACCTATCACAGTTAGCAAAAGCTTCTGTCTATATTTGCTGCAGCTGTTGACTGTAAATCAACTAAGCTGGTCTGATAAAGCAAGCGTGTGTTTTAGTTTGGCACTTACTGGTGACTAAGATTTAAAACAAAGTAAAAGTGTAAAAGTTTACAAATAATTGTCACTGTATCACTTTTTAATCTACACAGAAAGGTCACTCAGATCAGGTTTTACTGCTGCATTATCACATCTATATTATGCCAAAATGCCTTTATATGGATTTTATAAAATTATTTTTAATAGCTTTCATGACAGTTTGTAACAAGTTTTTGTAACAAGGTGAAGGTAATGCTTTACATGTTTACTGTTCCCAATGCTTTTCCTTGAACGCAATGTTGGAGAATAATTAGATATATCCTTATGAAATAACTACTTCCCACCTAACCAGTACTCTAGATCAGTTAGGTGTTTTTCAGTTGCCAAGGCTTTTTGTAAATTATGCGGTGTTCACTCTGTTTTATTTTTTTGTTGCCTCTATGATGGTGTGATAAAGAGAGGGAAATCAAACAGGCAGACTTTACACTGTTAAAACTTCCTCTGAAATAAAACAAGATTTTAGAGCTGTGAACTTTGTTCAAAGATGTACCTCTTAATGACTCCTTTTATTAATAAATGCAAATTGTGTTATTTTTGTTCTAGCTGTTACTGTGAGCAGGCTCTAATGTGATAGGTGAGTGAATCTTTTAAGGTTAACAGAGTTGAAAGAAAAAATGCACCCAAATTGCTACAGGCAGGCTATGGCTAATGTGTCAAAGTGTCTAACATGTAGCAACAACCGTCAAAATCATTTTTAGCTGGGAGCTCCTCCTATCAGTAAGGTCTAGCAGCAGAGCCAAGCCAGTGGATATTTCTCCGGAGCTTTCTAGAACGTATAGAAAAATCCTCACATAGGAAACCGGTTTCCTATCCTCACATAGGAAACTCTCAGTAAGAGAGCTAAGGACTGTAAGGTGGCCTTGACATGCAACAGTGTTTGTGGTGGTTGTGTGAGTTTGACTGTGGGAGTATGTTGTGTGGGTAAGCTGCAAACAAATTTCCCTTTTTTTGGGATTGATAAAGTTGGACTGAATCTGAATAATAAACTATGTGACACCGTTTTCAAGTTCACAAGACAAATAATTAGAAGCAAAGCAACGCCCACATGGTTCTTGTGTGTGTGTGTGTGTGTGTGAGTGAGAGAGAGAGTGATAGATATACCTCCTGCTGACCAAAGGTCATAAAAGCAGGAGCAACATCACAAGAAGCAGATCTTCCAGGTAGGATGTATCTGCAATAAAACATTACAGCCCCCCCACCCAGAACCTCGATAATCTGGGGGGGGAAGGACAGTGGAATTCCTTTCATCAGAGTTGGCAAGCATAAAATGACATGAATGATTTAACAATTCACTCTAACAAGTTCTGATGAAGGTTTTCTTTTACCTGCCATAAACTGTCACCTAAATAGCACTCCCAAAATCACAAATAAACGAATAAATGTCCCTTTCCAATCGTTTCGAGTATCAATCATTGAAAAACTAGTGAAAATATAAGAAGATTTAATGGAACCCCCTGATCTCAATCACACTCCGTCTTTAACCAAGTGAGGCCACTCCTCTGTCTCTCTAACTGATCCTATTTCTTGATTTGAATTAATTCTGCTTTCTTGATGATATTTTAGGATAGAAGATGATTCTGTACTGACTGAATACATTTTTAACCGCTTTCACTAACTTAATAACTAGTAAACAGTAAAAATAAATGTAACTAAAATATGGTCTAGTATTTAGAATTCTGCTACATTGGTTGTGACTGTCCTGACAGCTTATTCATCTACAGATATCAGTTTATAGAGCTGTAAGTATAATTACAGTTTCTTTTTTCCATTTCCAGCCTTGGTTTTCTGCACACAGTTTTGGAGACATGCCAATATAAAACTAAACTATAGCTGAGTAATTCAACCAAGAGGGAAAAGTCTTAAAAACAAACCTTACATTGTGAAGGAAAATTCCAACCCCTATCAAGAGCTATTCCGGGAGTTGTGAGAAACTGTCAAACATTTACTAAAATCTAATCAAACCGTAGCACCCCAGACTGCCCTTGACTGCCCCACCCGTATCACATTACAACTGATAGTTCATAGTTGGAAGCACAGTTTGTAGGAAATGTTAGGATTGAACTAAACATTTTGCATTTGAAAAACAACTTATTAATTTATTTATTTATTTTCATCAGTGGATCCACGTTTTGCCAGTCATCAAGGCAGCACACAATGGCTCTGAACATCCCAGGGCTGGTGGTAATGGTGGTCTTCTACCTGATGGTGCTGGGCACTGGTCTGTGGGCCTCGATGAAGTCCAAACGGGTGCAGAAAAGCAGCCAAGCAGCCCGGACAGAGGTCACTTTGCTGGGAAACAGAGGGATCAGTATGGTAGTAGGAGTCTTCACAATGACCGGTGAGAGTGCATGTTTGTAGATATTTGGCTGTTATTGTAGCCACTTTCATTGAGTGAAACTGTGTAAGAACATTGTGAAGCACAAAATGAGTATGTTGTTGCATGAGCTCATCACAGTGCAGCTTTTGTAATAGAACAAGTTAAATTCTCTTCTAACTCCACCAAAGTAAATAGTTAGTAAAGTAGCTGGTGAACAACAACCTGTCTCTCTTTAACAGGGAGTCCCCCGTTTGACATTCTTTCAACAAAAACATGTGCAGCTATTAAGATAAAGGGGCTAGCCTGTTCGTATGTAAAAGACAACAAACCTTTCTTAATACGGTTATTTTAAAAAATGTGTTGTTGTGCCTAATTTATTACATATTACAGTGAAGTGGAACCATTAAGCTTAAGTCGGGGTTTTTTTTTTTTTGTTTTTTTTTTAAATTAATATTCCTTGCTTAAGTCAATTTTTTTTTTGTGCAATTGAATTCCTACATTTTGAGTTACACTAAGACACAGTTAAAAGAGAAAACAGATGTTTTTAAAACTTCATCTCATGTGCAAAAGTGTTCACACCATCAATTAACTGCTTATCAGTAGGCAATATTAATTTAGAAGCCTCTTTACCTGAGCCTGAAGGTCACGGTGTAATTCCTCTATGTGTGTTTGTGCTGTGCTCTCTGCAGCTACTTTTGTTGGCGGGGGCTTTATCGTTGGTCTGACAGAAGCAGTGTACACACCAACTATGGGGCTGGCCTGGGCAGTCATGCCATTAACAGCAGCCCTGTCTTTTATTGTTGGTAAGAGTTTTAATAATAACACCATTACCTGTATAATTTCTGCATTTGCACATGATTTCCCATTTTCTGACGAAAGCGGCTCATGTGTGCGTAAGGTACTACACTACAGACTTTAATCATTATGATTTCCTTGTCACATACTTGGTTACGCCTACAAATATCATATTCATCTGAACTATTAAGTAACATCTACAAAAACGACCTTTTTCAAAGCAAGGTTTTTATTTCTAGATATTACTTTTAATGTCTAAATCAGGAATGATGTGTTTTATAAGACAAAGGCGTATATCTGTGTGGAAAAATATGATTTCTATATGATTACTTTAAATGTGTTTTACATAGGAACGCCACAAATTTTCACAAACACTTTTTATGCCTCTAGAGGAAGCTGTGCAAAATCATAAGGAAAAATCTAAAAACCTACCTTTTCTAAATTAGGCTTTGAAAAATACAGGCCAAGCATGTCTTATAAGGAAGTGGGGACACATCTGTGCAAATTAGCGTAAAATGTGATTCGCATAAGACTATGAATGAATCTTAAAGAGGAAGTCCACTGATTTTCAGTAGTGGATGTGAAGAAATGTGTTCTACCTGTCGTTAAGGTGGACTTTTCTTTGCCAAACCAATGAGAGAAAGAAAATATGTGACAATGATGGACCCATTCCAGATCAAGTATGGAAAGTCAATAAGTGGAGCTCTGTCCGTGGCTCTGTTAATTTCTGATCTAATCTGGGTGACAGGAACTCTTATCGGCTTAGGTGAGTGATACCCACATAACTTTTGTTTTCCTTCTCTAGTAATAAGACCTGCAACTGAATAATTTCCAGGATAGAGACAAGTGTTTTAAGTTTGGCTGCTATAATAGTTTTAACTGCATCCAAAACACCTATACAACAAACTAGTATGATAGTATTACTGTAAGTCATACTGACACATACTGTTGGTGTCATCCTAAAGTGACTGAACTCATTTTCCTAAACTGAATGAAGGTAATTCTGATGCATGTGATTCTGTATCATTTACTGTGTTACTTTTATAGGAGCAACAATAAGCGTGGTCCTGGATTTATCCTACGCTGTTTCCATTTGGATCTCTGCTGCTGTAGCCATCATATACACATTAATGGGAGGTCTCTACTCTGTAGCCTACACAGACATAATACAGCTAACACTCATTTTCTTCAGTATGGTGAGTTCACTTGCATGGGAAACCACATCCCTCCTTAATAAAATATAGGGAAACTGTGTTTAATATAAATAAAAGAGCACAATTAATGTAAATACTTTAATAAAGCCTGTATGGATTTGAAAATACATGAAAACTTAGTTGTTGTTGTTTTTATGGTTTTTTTGTTTTTTTTTAATTTGATGGCACTTCACTTTAAAAAAAAAAAAGTAATATATGCATTAATGTCTCCAAACTCATCAGATTGTGTTTATAGCAAGTTGGATGTTCCCTCTGCTCCTTGGCCATGAGAAATACAAGATCTGTGGCTTTGAAAAAAATATATATCAAACTTTTATTTATGCACCACAGGAGAGGTTTTCTTTCTATCCCCTTAAATTATATTAAACATCAGTTTTTTCTTTGTGAGTTTTGATCTGTGACTGATGGTGCTCACTGGACACCGTTTTCAGACTTGAGGGCCTGAAGGTCTTAATCGTTTGTTTTCTGGCTCCTCTAGATTCTCCAGATTGTCTGAATCTTCATGCACATTATGTACTAAAGATGATGAAACTGGCAATTATTTGAGCCGTTTCCCTAATTATACATTTCTCCCTTAACTGTCGTTGCCCTCGTCCCACCCCTTTTTTTTTTTTAAGCGTGTTGTAGCCATTAAATTCTAAATCAGCCTATATTTTTTGAAAAACAGTAGATTTTAATCTGAGGTTGAAAGGTTAATCTTTATGATAAATGGTTCTTTACCTTCTGGAGCATGTGTGCTGTGATTATGCACCTTTTCCTCAGCAGCTTTGATTTATCCCAATGTCAAAAAATACACAGCGTTAACAATGCCCGTCTGGGCCATAAACAGTTCGCAGAAGAGACTCCTAACCACAACAGTTTCAACTTACTGCTTATAATACAGGATTGGAATGGTTTCCAATATATTGCATTGTATTTGTATTACAATTTTACAGTGTTTTTACATTTTGCATCCCAAACTTTTTGGGAACAGGGTTTTAATATAGGCAAATCTAATGTGATTGTGAACATTGTAACTTAGTCTTTATGTCATTGGATCTTCTTCTGTTCTGCAGTGGCTCTGTGTCCCCTTCACCTTAATGAACCCCCACTCTATGGACATTACTAAGACTGCTTTCAACTTTACCTACCAAGCCCCCTGGATTGGTTCTGTAGATAAAGAAAGGCTATGGAGATGGATTGATAATTTCTTATTATTGGTAAGGCCTGCATTTATTTTTATTTAGGACTGAATTTGTAAAAGCAACAAACACAGAAAAACATTAGCAGTTGCAGAGACCAAGACAGATTTCTAGCACTAGTCTCTTGATGGGTATTAAAATATCTAAATGTTAAGTACAAACAATCATCCAAAATAAACTATGTGAATGACATTAACATGCTTTGCAGCATTCTTTATTAGCACACACACGGTTGCTGTTCAATCTGCTTTAAAGTGATTATTTAAGTAATTTACAAAGTTATCAAAACTCAAACCAAGCAGTGACTCGCCTATAAATGGATCCAGGTCAGAGATGGATCAATGAGGTTCATAAACAAAATAAAGAACAGGGTCTCCCTTTAAAACCAGAAAAAACTAAGGATATCAATGTGGACCACGATATTCATCTTAGAAAACATGAGTGGAGAAATTGTGGTTAACAAGTGAACTCGATCAAGTTACATTCAACAATATTCAGTCATTCAGCATTAGGCCTTCATGGGTATGAAATTGTTTGCATGATGTAAGCCTAATGATGTAATGAGGGGGGGGGTAAAGGACATAGTTTTCATTGAATTTAATGATTATTAATACTAAAACTATAATTAATACTAGAAATGTTCATTTACATTCAAGGGACCTCCGAACAAGCACTGAAACTCCAAATAGACATAAACAATTAGTCTGACGAGAAACAAATGAGCAAATGTTTCAACCTATAATGTGTACTCCATGTGAACATTATAAACCTAAAGCACACAAGTTAACTCAAGATGAAATAAACAGTTTGTCATTTGCTGAGTGCTAATAAAATACACATAATTAGAGATACAACTAAAGTTGAGAGATTATAAACTAAAACAACATTACCCTAATAAATGACTAACTAACAAAATGAACGGCTAACTGTCACACTGTCATTTGTTTAAGGCTTTAGGTAACCTTGGATATCAGGACTTCCACCAGAGGACTCTGTCAGCCTCCTCATCAAATACAGCCAGGATCACCTGCTTTATTGCAGCTCCACTTATTTTTGTACTTGGAATCCCATCTGTGTTGATTGGAGCAGTCGCAGCATCAACAGGTACAACAACAGAGAAATATATTTAATAAAATTGTTAAAATATATTTTCATTTATTTGTACTTTTTATGTTTTTATGCCAGATTGGAACATGACCTTATATGGCTCCCCATCCCCCTTCAAGCGAGGAAACGCTGGTCAGGTTCTGCCAATTGCTCTGCAGTACCTCACTCCAAACTACATCTCCATCATTGGTATTGGAGCTGTAGCTGCTGCTGTGATGTCCTCAACAGACTCTGCTCTATTATCTGCCGCCTCCATCTTCTCATCCAACATATATAAGAGCATCCTAAGGACCACAGTAAGAGACCTGAAAGGAGAAGATTCGAGTTGTGGTTATGTCTTTTCTGGTTCAGTTTCCAGATTTTATTTTATTTTGGGGTTTTTTTGCAGGCATCAGACAGGGAGCTCCAGTGGGTGATCCGTGTCACTGTGGTCTGGTGGCGTGGCTGGCACATCGCTCACCTTCCTAAACAACAGCATCATGGTTTTTTGGATCCTGGGCTCAGACATAACCTACACCATCATGTTCCCTCAACTAGTCTGCGTCCTCTTTTTTAACATCTCCAATGGTTATGGCTCTATCATGGGCTTGCTAGTTGGAGTGTTGCTGAGATTGCTCAGTGGTGAACCATCCATAGGGTTACCTGTTGTCCTTCACTTCCCAGGTTGCACTCTTGAACATGGCATTTATGTCCAGCGCTCTCCGGTCAAGACTATCTGCATGTTATCCGCTATCTTTGTTACTTTGTTGTTCTCCTACCTGTCATCACTGCTCTTCAACAGAGGATTGATTTCTGAGAGGTGGGACGTATTCAAAGTGAAGGCCAACAAACGATCACAAAAATTAACATTAATGAGCAATGGCATCATCGAAACAGACAAGGAGGAGAAGCCTGATGGTCAGAGTGAAACTGAACTAATACTAACCCCCAGTCAGTTGGAGTGACAAACTAAATGATTTAGTGGGATGCAGATGTGTTTTTAGAATAGAATAGCTTTTTATTGTCACTGTTACAAGAACAATGAAAGGCAGTTTGGCATTTCTCCATGTGTGTGAAGTACACAATAGCGTAAGTATTTACACAATAACAGAAAAAATTTACATTTACGCAAGAAAGATATGTAGAAGTTATACATACACGCACATACATACATATATGCATCCGTACATACATACACACATATATTTCCACATACACGCTTACATTTATATACATACACATACATGCCATCTAACTAGTAGGTGCATTGAGAGGTGCAGTGTGATCAGTGATATTGCACATTGAGAGTGTGTGTGTGGGGGGGGTGCTGTTGGAACTATATTAGCTAAGGTTATAATAAATATAGTTTAAAGAGGTAGGGGTGTTGGTTGCATTGAAGTATAAATAGAAATACGATTTACAAATAAGGTGTAATGTCCATGAGTGTTGGCAGTGCAGTTATCCTCCAATCAGGGTCAGAAGGCTCTCGATGGTGGAGCAGTAGATGTTTACGAGCAGTCTTTGGGGTAATTGGGCCTGACGTAGTTTCCTGAGGAAGTACAGCCTTTGTTGTGCTTTCCCTACCTGGTGGGAAATGTTTGTGGACCAGGTAAGGTCGGCCGAGATGTGGACTCCGAAAAACTTAAAGCTTTATACCCTTTCTACCTCCTCCCCATCAGTGTAGAGGGTAGAGTGCTCAGATCGCTTTGTTCTTCTGAAGTCGATTACCATCTCCTTGGTCTTGGCTGTGTTTCGATGCAGGTTGTTGTCGTCACACCATTGCTTCAGATGCTGAACCTCCTCTCTGTAGGCTGAATCATCATTGTTGTCTATCAGTCCTATGACGGTGGTGTCATCAGCAAATTTTATAATGGTGTTACTGGTGTGGATTGGTGAACAGTCATGGTGAAAAGTGAGTATAAGAGGGGACTGAGACACACCCTGTGGGGACACCCACATTCAGAATGAGGGTGGTGGAGGTGTGCTCTCCCATTCTGAGTTCTGGGGTCTGTTGCTCAGGAGTCCAATATCAGCTGCACAGTGAGCTGCTGAGTCCTAAGTTGCTTAGTTTATTAACCAGTTTGTGGGGTTGAACTGTATTGAAGGCAGAGCTGAAGTTATTGTGATTTATTATCACACCTTCTGTTTTTATGCCAGATATTTTGTGAAATGATCATGTTTGCCACAGGGCCTTGGAAGAATTCATGGATTCTTCCAAAGTCATCCATTGTTTATAATCAGTGCATGCTTTCTGCATGCAGTATATACATTTCTTAAAATTACATTGGAGTAATTTCTTTAAATACATTTTACTAGCATTTGTTTAACCGATTGTTACTAATGGTGAATGATACTAAATAGTGTTACTTCAATAAAATTCCTAAAGTTAGTGGGAGGTAATACATGAATCACATAATGAATATGAGTCCATTCATATGTATGAATCTTATGTAGCATTCATGCCACTGGACTTCATTTTGCTAGATGGAAGTATGAAATGGAAGATGGATGCTCGCAGTAAAGTGCTTCCTTACCCAACAAATTATGATTTGGGAAAACAATTAAAAATATTTTTGGACTTGCACTTGTGCTACAATCAGCTGATTTCAGTACGTGTGGAACTGAAGAGGAAGATGGGGGGCAAAAGTGTGGATATGGACATTATTTTTTATTTTTATTGCACAAAGGAGAAGAGCACAGTGGGGAAAGTGCAAACTACACTAACAGTAACTGCATTATCCTGCCAACACAACTTTCGGCTCTTTGCCAGCTCCTGCTAGGACAGCATGCTAACACTAAGCTAACCAAGAACCCAGAGTGACTTAAAGCTGAGTGAATCCTGACCCCGCCCAGCAGCCAGACCCTGAACTTCAGCAGGTAACATCTGTGACGAGCAGTCAAGCTGTACCTGTTTCTACCTGTTCATGTTACTAAAGTAGAATCACTGTGGAAATTACTGTGAAATTTCTTTGCTTTGTTTTGTTGGCTTTGTGTTCACATGTAAATGCTTTGAGAAAGATCATATGTGTGTCCTTATTAGGATTGGGATATGTGTTGGTGTGTGGGGCTGTAGTCGGTAGATTTATATTGATAAATGGTAATTATGAGACTATGCGTTCCATGTAATTTTACGGAAAAATGCTGATATAATGTAAAAAGTAACAAATTACTGTCTTCTGGGCGCAATTACTTTTAGTATCAACACCAAGAGTGGAAATACTATCAATATGCACAAACGTTTCTCATCCACTCGTCTTCCATATGGTGCTTAGTGATGATGGTGACTCTCAAAGTGGAGGCAATGAGAGTTGATAATGGAATCAGAATCGCTAAATTCTTATGAATTCTAGTCGTACTACAGGACAATTTTTCACTGTGCCAGAGTCTATGTTAAAAAGCTCAGGTACAGTATGGCCTGTAGCATTGTATGGTAGATTTTTTTTTATTTTTTTTTTTTTTTTTTTTTTACCAGCTATGTGGTGGCAGGGCACTGGGTTTACTGTCAGTGGTTTCATTCACAGTCATGTTGGACCTGTAGTAACAAACAAATGGTTTACTGGGATGTAGATTTGTGTTATAATGTTAGAATGAACAGAGAATTGACATTTAAAGTACCTTTAACTGTTAATTCTGAATTTAAAGCCATATGAACGTTATGTAAAATCTATATCTCGGGCATGCATTCTGCAGTATTTAAGTGTTGGTGTTAGCATGCCCACATACCACTTATTTAAATATGTTTGTTGTGCACTGATATAGGGTACTCATGTCACCACGTTCCTCACATCTCCCAGTGTTAGTATGGGCAAGGGTAAGAATCTGCTTCTTTATATGCCTTGATTTCTTTGTGCCACACTTACACATGTGACCACATGTGTCCTATTCATGACATAAAAATTCACACTAACATTTCTGCTCTTTCTTACACGTCATGAGATGTTTGAACATGCTGATATGGTAGATTATGCAAGATTTCTCTTATGCTTTTATATTATCTAATATATTATCAGAGGACCTCAACATCCTCTGGAGTGGAGGATGTTGAGGTCATTAACTCTGCAACTGAAGTGAGTTTTGTAACACAATCACACTCATTTTCAAATGTGTAAAAATTACACAATGTTAGACATTTTATAGGCAGTCACCACAAGAGATATAATTGGAAAGATACACAAATACAAGATTATAGAACTTCTAGCATTGGTATTTAATGAAAACTGTTTTCTTCTTCTTTTTTTTTTTCAGTTTAGCTAGTATTTATATAGGTTCTCATTGTAAGGTAAAGATCCTACAATCACACAATTCTTATTCAAGCACTTGGCAACAGTGGGAAGGAAAAACTCCCTATTAAAAAGAGGTGCCGCCAGCAGAACCAGGCTCAGGGAGGCAGCCTTCCACCATTGTCTCATACATGAAGCTGTATAGCCAATATTCAGAACACATGACACAAGTGTAGAAAAATGGCAAGCCTTTAATTCCTGCTCATCGAAAACTAAAAAGTAATCGCAGATCGCAAAACCAATTCAACTCCAATTGCTCCACAAAAGTTGTAATAAAACTCATCCAACAGAAGTCATGAAACAAAGACTTAAGAATAACATGTAAAAAGCAAACTAAGACGTGAAGGAATAATAAGTAGATATAGAAAGTCCACAAATGAAAAACATTGGGTTAGAGAACCCAGGACCATGAAATACCTGAAAATTCAAAGGGAAAAAAAGAACAGAACTCAGACAGGAAGCATACTTAAACCAAAAAGCAACTAAGAAAACTCTAACGTGATCATGACAGGTGAGATAAAAGACAATCTATAGGAGATTATTCCTGTGTTTAAATTTTTTTCTTTTCTTTTTTTAATGCTCTGGTATTTTGTTGTGAAGCACTTTGTGATCTTTCTCTCAAAAGTTGATATAGAAATTACATTTTCTATCAGTCTGAAAAAACTGCTATACATACACGACTAGAATCATCCGTGACGTTACATGCCAATACTGCTGGTTGTATAACATCATTGCATAATGAATAATTGGTTGACTGGCATTCAAGCACTCAGCTGATCCTGATGGTATACATTTATAAATGGTTACAATTTAAAAAATCTTTCAATTTCATGTTGCAATATGTTTGATACACGTCCTAGGTTTAAATTCGCCAGCTGGGATTTCTGTATGTTGTTTGCACGCTGTAACATCAGTAATAGCTGAATTTCTTATGTAAACGCTCATTATTTTCATATAGTTATCAAATAATATTGAATATTACTTTTAATTTGTTTGTATATATTAAGTTTAGCAGCAGTAAACGCATGCTGGTTCCGTATCAAAGTAACAAACTTTGAGACCGCACTAGTACTTGGAACTGGATGAAAGATTCCAGGCTTGGTTGTTTGCGACATCACTCATGTAGTTTCGTCACTTTGAAATGAATCCTTGCCCAGTGTACAATGAAATCTTTGTTGTTTTCCGCTCATGCACAAGCCACACCACCACCAGGGTTTTGGCCAATTTATGGCATATCCAGCATTCTTTTTGAATTTTGTATCCTCATGCCTATATTCAGTGTTGGGAAGGTTACTTTTAAAATGTATTCCATTACAGATTACATGTCCCAAAATGTATTTTGTAACATATTCCGTTACGTTACTCAATAAAAGTAACATATTCTGAATACTTTGGATTATGTAATTTATTATCATGCTTTTATACAACTACGTGAATGTACTATTGCTGTGTGATTTATTAGGCTACTATTATTGAAGGCTACTCGGCATACCAATACCAACTAGATTTTTGAATCTTAATATAAAATGAGTAACAGTAGGGTGTATATCAGGTAAGGCTGCACTTCTTTGTGTGTGCGTGCGTGCGTGTGTGCGTGCGTGCGTGCGTGCGTGCGTGTGTGTGTACTAGGCCACCTAAATATTTAACCTACAGTGATACATTGAAGCAATGTTTGTGCTGATGTTAAAGCCAAAGGAGATTTGGAGCTCTACAGTTATTAAGTCAGCAGAGTGTTGGTGACTCATCATTCAGTAACCCTGATTTATAACTTTATGTGGTCTGACACTTTGTGGCTGAGTTCATGTGGTTCCGCAACACTTTCACTTTGCAGTAATACAATCTGAAGGTTGTTGAATGCTTAGCTTTGCGAATTTTGTTTCACTCCTAACTTGTTGCAATGGCTGTATCTTCTTACAGAACCATGCTGGAATCCAGTGAGCTCTTTAGAGCTACAGATTTGTTCACAAATGTTTGTAAAGACAGACTGCATGGCTAGGTGCTTGAATTTTTCATTTAGTGCTTCCATGTTTAATAGTCTTACTACCCACATAGCAACTGGAACTTCTTTGGGCAGGCAAACCTGTTTAAACCTGTTTTTCCCCTAAAAAAGTTAGGGCATTGTACAATTTAAATAAAAGAAAAAAATATATGCTTCATTCTATGGGTACTCACCAATAGATTTCATTTTAATAGATTTTTGGATTTATATTTACAGGAAAAAATATATGACAAAGATTATAATGAGAAGTGGAATGTTTTAATGTATCTATAACACACAGTGACAGAGCTTCCTTTATCAGACACTGTGAATGCCGTTTCTTAGTAGTAAGGTAACTCCTAGATTCATACAAGACTTTATAACAAGACTTGTATGGACTTGCTGGCAAGCCCATAAAAACGTTAAAGGATGCTATTTCATTCTCCTTAATGTTAGATGACCTGATTGGCGACAGAGGACAGCTAGCGGTAGCATCCTGGTGTAGCTCCTGTTTTTTCTGTTTTTTTAAAATGGGCTCTTTCTTGGCATTGTGGAGTAATTGCCAAATGCAATTGTCTATTAGTTATCAATCTGAGTAGACAGAGGAATAACAAAGTGCATCAGGTAGAGCAATTTATTCAAGCAAGTCCCACATAACCGACTTTTTGTTTCCTCATTCTCTCTCTCTCTCTCTCTCACACTCACCACACACCACACACACCACACACACACACACACACACACACACACACACACACACACACACGAGGCATGGCCAAAAAGTGTTGTGAGTCGAAAAAACCCCTATGAAAAACACTTATTTTCCCCGATATCCGATCCAGTAATTTAGGTCAGGATGGGACCGATACTGTATATCGAATCGGGCCATCCCCAATTAATACTCATGAATAATGTAGTTACCATCGTTGTGCCATGTGTGGAAAAACATACTACAAGTCATTTGATAATTAGTAATGCACATTTCTTGCAAACCTGGAATTGTTACCATTTTTTTTAGTCTGGTCTATTACTAGTGCTCTATCACTCTTGCCAACCTTCAGTCCAGCTCAACAATCCTAAAGTTGTAATTTTCCACTTGTAAGCCAGTTTTCAAAGAGGTGTGGCTTCAGCCTCATGGACGCAGCGGTATTTATTGGTATGAAGGATATGAAGTTTACACACTTTTATGGATGACAAAATTTTGTGAGAAACTTTATATGGATCACGCTGAGCAGAGAAATAAAGTAAGCGAGTACATGTCGCTGCCACTGCTTCTTTGCAGAGGTTTCAGTCTTCATTAACGGGTTTGCAGTTTGATTTGGAAAAAGAAAATGCCTTTAAATTGAGCATTTCAAAAATGACTGCTGACAGTGCTTTGCAGCTACTACGAGCCAGTGTTTTTAATTTTCATTGTACTAAAACTAGCAAACAAATTTAGACAGTTTTTACAACAAAAGATACATAAAACTAATCTTTATGCTGTTTTTTAAAATGAAAGTAACAACAGATGCAGCATCTAAAAAATAAAATGATGTTGCAGGGGGTGACCACAGACACCTTTTGATCCCCTCTTGATTTATTTTTTCTCCAGTTTAAGTGGTGTTAGCAGTACTTTTATTGTGAGTCAGTACCTGCAGCCCATCAAGGTTCCACAGGTAGTGCATCTCCTTCAGGAGCTGTGAAGGTTTGCTGCGTCTCCCAGCACAGTTTTGGGAGTATGGAGATATCAGGAGAGGGGCTGTTAGATGAAAGGGCTAATATCTGCGCTTACAAATGATCTCCATTAAGCGTGTGTGTGTGTGTGTGTGTGTGTGTGTGTGTGTGTGTGTGTGTGTGTGTCTTTAGAGAGCATTAATTTGTGAAGTGAACCTACCTACACTTTTCAGATTATCTGAACAGGGATGTGCTCTGATCTGAACTATTTATTTTTCCTTTGTGTTCTGTTTGTGAGCTTTGTAATTGAGCAACACCACTCCAGCTCTACATCAGGAGGCAGGTCATGTAGGTATTTGAGAGAGCTAGTGGGAACCATTGTCTGTCTGTCTCTGAGGTAGTGAATGGTGACCCTTAACATCCCGGGCATGGTGGTGATGGTACTGGGCACCAGACTGTGGGCCTCAAGGAAGTCCAAGGGGTTAGAGGAAAACAGCAAAGCAGACCGGAGAGAGATCACGCTGTTGGGCAACAGAGGGATCAGTCTGGCGGTTGGAGTCTTCACTATGACAGGTTAGTGTGCAGTGTGTAGGGAAAATGGTGAATATGGGTGAAATTTTAATGACTATTGTTGCAGTGAGATGCATTCAGGCACTTTTATTTCCACTGAGATTTTTAAAATATAATAGTCATGTTGTAACCAACTATGGAAAACTCTACAGTTTTAGTAATTTAAACATACTAATAATTAGTGTCACTGTCACTTTATCAATGCTGGTCATCATTCCCTTTTGCTATTAAAGTATTTATTTATACCTATGTTTATACCTACACTCTATACCCATACTCCATACTGGTACTCAGGTTGTTGCACTCCACTTATTGTATTATTTATTGTAGTGTTTTATTACTTATTATTCTGTTTGTTAAAAAACCAAAAAACAACTATTTATTTATTACTTTAAAAAAAAATTGTTTCTTCATTACTTGGTTTCTTTTTCGCTCCGGGACCGTGTGCACATATTTTCATTCCACCTCATGTTAACATGCAATGCGAATGACAATAAAGCCCCTTGAATCCTTGTGTGAAAAGCCCTCTGATTTCACACGAATAACCCACTAAAGCCAAATGCATCTTCTTTTTTTATTTGTACTGAAAAACAATTATGAATCAAAGCTTGGTTGGTCTTTCTATGGCACAGGAACCATGTCGATAGATATTTTTTAAAATTGTATTTTGTTCATTTCTGAAGAAATGCTCCTTAAAACAGTTAAAAATGGCTCCTACAAGCTGGCCTGAGGCTGTTGGGTAGGCTGTTGCTTTAGATTTGATCTGTCCCAGCCTGCATCTGAGTTTTGCTATTAAAAATAAATTAATGGCATCAGATTTTAAGTACTGTAGTCCTTAATTGTAATTTCTTTTTAAAGGGTTTAGGTAACCTTGGATATCAGGACTTCCACCAGAGGACTCTCTCAGCCTCCTCATCAAATACAGCCAGGATCACCTGCTAGTCTTCATACTTTGAATCCCATCTGTGCTGACTGGAGCAGTCACAGCATCAACAGGTACCACAACAGAGTCAACAGCAAGTGTAAAAATATGAATGAATTAATATGACTTTATATAACATTTTTATGTTTTTATGCCAGATTGGAACATGACCTTATATGGCTCCCCATCCCCCTTCAAGCGAGGAGACGCTGGTCAGGTTCTGCCAATTGCTCTGCAGTACCTCACTCCAAACTACATCTCCATCATTGGTATTGGAGCTGTAGCTGCTGCTGTGATGTCCTCAACAGACTCTGCTCTATTATCTGCCGCCTCCATCTTCTCATCCAACATATATAAGAGCATCCTAAGGACCACAGTAAGAGACCTGAAAGGAGAAGATTCGAGTTGTGGTTATGTCTTTTCTGGTTCAGTTTCCAGATTTTATTTTATTTTGGGGTTTTTTGCAGGCATCAGACAGGGAGCTCCAGTGGGTGATCCGTGTCACTGTGGTCCTGGTGGGCGTGGCTGGCACATCGCTCACCTTCCTAAACAACAGCATCATGGTTTTTTGGATCCTGGGCTCAGACATAACCTACACCATCATGTTCCCTCAACTAGTCTGCGTCCTCTTTTTTAACATCTCCAATGGTTATGGCTCTATCATGGGCTTGCTAGTTGGAGTGTTGCTGAGATTGCTCAGTGGTGAACCATCCATAGGGTTACCTGTTGTCCTTCACTTCCCAGGTTGCACTCTTGAACATGGCATTTATGTCCAGCGCTCTCCGGTCAGGACTATCTGCATGTTGTGATTTCTGAGAGGTGGGACGTACCCAAAGTGAAGGCCAACAAAGAATCACAAAAATTAACATTAATGATCAATGGCATCATCAAAACACACAAGGAGGAGAAGGTGGTCAGAATGAAACTGAACTAATACTAACCCCCAGTCAGTTGGAGTGACAAACTAAATGATTTAGTGGGATGCAGATGTGTTTTTATGGTGATTTATTACCACACCTTCTGTTTTTCTGGCAGAAAAACAGAAATGAAGGACTTTGGAGGAATTCATTGTTTATAATCAGTGCATGGTTTGTTCCTGTTTATGTTAAGAATCTGTCACTGACTTACTTTAAAAAAAATACTTGAACCTTCTCTTTTTAGCACTTATATACCATTGCTTAGAAAAGGTTGTAGCTATGCAGCTTACAGCTGTTGCACACAAATACTTCATAAATTACAATCTTTCTTTTGTAGAATTCAGTAAAATTGTAAAATTTTACAGTTGCTTTGTGATAAATGTGTTTTGTTTTGTTTTGTTTTTTTAATCGGAATAATTATATTAGGGCATTTGCAGTTTTATCAATGAGTCATTATACAATTATGAAAGATTTTGAAATTGTAAAAAAAACAAAGATCAGATAATTATATTTATCAATTTCTAGTATCAAATGTAAATTTTTCATGAGCTATTTTACTTGCTGTGTGGTATGCTTGGCATAGCTCTGTTATCAGGACTCTGGAACCTGAAAAGTAGATTTTAAAAACATTGTTTAATAAATTAATTGTTGTAAATAATGTTTTGGAACAACTTTTTCAGTAACTGCGTTTACATTTTGTTCCAGAATAAGTGTAATTTACACCAAAAAAGTTTGTTTTGGTATTTTGTGCATGGATTACTTTCAAAATTATATTTAATAAAAACGAAGAGGGTGTATTTTGTGTTAATTTGCTGGCAATTCCTGCTTCGACCTTATGGTGGCAGTAGCACTCCACACAGTTTGTGGGCGAGTCCATAGAAAGGCAAGCAAGGAAGCGCACGTGTGGCAGCAACAACTAAGATGACTACCAGCTGAAAAGTAGCTATCCGTGGATTGTCGCTTCACTGGCGTAAGGCGAGAGAATGCAGAACAATACAGCTTTCATGTAGCGAACCTCATAAAATGCGCGAACATACGGGAAATAATGAGTTAGCTAGTTTTCGAGGACCCGGGCTAGCTTGGCAGCCTGCTAGCTCGGTTAGCGGTAGCTACAAACCCTGGACGTTTTGCCGCAAAACGTCGGTTTACGTTTGGACCTGAGTGACGTGCTTTCTATTTGATTCGTAAAATAATGTAACGTTGGCATGTACCAATACTTCAAATAAAAAGCTGTAGATTTGCCGTTTGTCATATTAAATATGGTGGGAAAACTACTGCTCTTGCGGTTTGTCTACCTTCTTATTAAAAGCAGTGTGGCTCACTGTGTGACTGCCAGGTCATATGTGAGGTATTACAAGTGAAGGAGTGAAGTAGCAGAGGTGTGACAAACCGTTTTCTTACACATAAGTGCTTTCTACTATTATACGCAGAGCATCTTTTTACACTGGAACAGGTGGTGTCGAGCCTTACTAATGTCGATCAGACTCAGGTGGACTGTTGCGTGTAAACAGTGCTCGGTTGGTAATAAGGGGCACAAACTGTATCCTTCAACACCCCTCAAACTGAAAATGTACCCCCACATTATTAAACCACCACCATCAGCACCCTAACAAGGGTGGGCTCCATGTTTTCATGTTGTCTTGACTCTATTCTTGCCGTGTGATTGGCTGATTACATGTTTGTAGTATACAAGCAGTGGACCCTGTGCACCTAACAAGGTGGCCAGTGAGTGATTATGTGTGTAAGCGCTTTTGAAACGTTTATTTGATCAATACCACTGTAAGAAAAAGTGTTAAACTTTATTTCACATAACTATAAGTTTTTCAATTTGAGTTCAGCCCTACACTTGGAGAAAAGTATTCATTTATATTGATTTTGATTAGCAGATTAGATTTTTGCTTTTAATTAATGAGCAGTTAATGAACAGGTGTACCTAATATAGTGGCCTGAACCTATATGTTTCATAAGTCCTTACATCTTTTTCTCTACATCTCACCACTTTATGTTTTAGGCTTTCTGTTTAAGAATAAACTAAAATGTGCTTTCTCACCCCAACAGCTGATTAGCTTCACTGCAGACATGGAGGGTGCTGGTGGGGAGGCTAGCCTAGATGTACAGGGGGCGGCGGCGGCAGCAGCACCGAGCCTCTTTGGACACAAACCAAATTCTGCTAAGCCGGTTTCAGCTTTGCTAGAGGAAGCAGCCCAGCTGAAAACAGAAGGAAATGCTTTCTACAAGGATAAGAACATTCGCTCAGCCATTGGTCGTTATCACCGCGCTCTTCTGCTCCTGCGAAGCATTGACTCAGATGTGACGACATCAGTGAAAGGGTTTGGGCCTGAGACACCTGTGCTCACACCTGAACAGGAGGCTTTATTGAGAAATACTCAAGTGGACTGCTACAACAACCTTGCTGGTAGGTAAATATCATTCTGAGATAATGTCATATTCTTTCAAAGCTGTTGAAGTAGTAACTCTTTGAAAAACTGCTCTCTAGTCACTAGTTTGATACAAGTGCCTCAGTATAATCATTTCTTTATATCTCTTCCAGCCTGTTTGCTGCAGAGAAAGACTGTTGATTATACTCGTGTGCAGGAGTACAGTCTGCGAGTGCTAAAGTGGCGACCAGGCAATGCCAAAGCGCTGTACAGGGCCGGGGTAGCCACTCTGGAGATGGGAGATGCAGAGACAGCCAAAGAGTACCTCATCCAGGCCTCTAAAGAGCAGCCTAATGGTAAAGACCCAGACCATCATGATCTTCAAGAGCAAGTTGACGTAATAGTTATTTAGACATATATAGCCAGGTTTTTCTTCCCGCATATTACATTTTTAAGGACCACCAAAGAGGTTATAACCTTCTCCCAAAAGAAAAATCTCTAGGGCTCTGATTGAAAGTATGTTAGGTTTAATTTACTAAAGTTTTAAAAACATTTTGGTCCATCAAATTGCATAAAATAAACAGAAAATGTTGAGAGTTCTGTTAACTCAGATGATGCCAAATTTTGGTCATAACTACATGTGGATCGCAAAAATGGAAGATAAAGTTTAAATAAATGAAGATAAACAATTCCTGATAACAAGTCAGGAATTGATGGGTTCTGTTGAAACTATTTATAACATAGTTATATGGACCTTGTACTCAGAGCTTGTTTCTGTGCTGCCATTATTAGTGCCTCTGTGCTGTCTTTCTGGATGTCAGCCACTTCCTCTATCTGCCAGTTGCACATACTGTTTTAAATGCTACCGAAATATGCAGCACATTCATCATAGTAGTTATCATATTGTGACTAGCACTGCTAGCACCAATAGCTCTCACAGAGGCTGTGTCATAATCTTTGGGCCAAGAGGTATTTCTGGTGGCGACTTTCAAGAGCGAAAACATTAAACATTAATTCAGCTAGTTGCACTAGCTGAAAGCAGGAAAAAATAGCAATAAAAAGAATCTGTGTCTTTGATGAATAAGTTGTGATTTGTAGATGATTAACACAGAGCATGTCGAAACAGCAGTTCTTTGGTGGGAGCCGTGGACGCCTGTGCTCTCCAAATGTATTTATTTTTCAGTCTACATTTGCAATTAGTCCACCACCATAACCAAAAATTGTTCTTTTGTTACACTGCTATCCATTCGGAAATGGTAATTAATATTAACACTCATCTTTAAAGTAAACAGTCAGCTCAGCTTGAGAAAAGCTTACTGACCTTGTTTAACTTTGTGATCAATTAAACCCATGAGTTAGAAGCGTCACCATTTCCCATGTTAAAGGTGTTTAATTAAAGCACGTTAGAAGACTCATGTATGAGTCATTTCATTTTATCAAGACCAGGTGGGTAGCTTGTGCAGTTTTTTTTTTTTTTTTTTCTGAAGGATATAGATTTGCTCATAGTAATTTAAGCATAGTTTAAATTACTGATCTTTTCTCTGGAGACCAGCGAGTTAAAGTATACGTTTCTGTCACAGATGCCAATGTGAGGAAGTACCTGCAGAGGGCTGAGGAGAAACTCAGTCGGGACTTACAAAAAGAGAAAGCCATGTATCGAGGCATGTTTTCCTCCAACCAGAATGATCGCTCCGAGGGTGGGATTAACCAAACCAGAAGAGCTGGCGACGGCGTTTAGCCCACAAGCTGAATGTGCCAAATAAAACCTCAGCCTGAGAGACTGCTCCAACCTCAGACCACACCACAAAGGGGTTAAAGAATGTTTACATGTCTTGAACGACTCTTGCTGTGTCTCCATGGGAGAGGATTGACGTAAGCATAACAGACATTATACAGACTTGAGGAAAGCAGTCAGTTGGAAAGCAAAGATGTCACTGCTGAAAATAGAAAAGACAGAAAAGTTGGTTTCCTAGCAACACAGTCTAATATAGTTCACAAAATGCTTCTGAAAGCTAAAGAGGCTCTTCATGCACTACTCAATTGCCTCTGTGATTGCAGTTGTTTGGTCAGTGATATGAATGTTAATTTTGTGACTTTTCAATAAAAATATTTGTTAAAAAAATGCTAATTTTCATTAATTTTTTAGCAAAGCCCTTTGCTGACACGTATCTTTAATGCACTTACAGTAGGAAGAGCACACGTTCAGTTATAAGTTTCCTTTATTAGTCATAAGCCATAAGAGGACACATATGTATCTTGGATAACTCATCAATACTTTAATTCAATGTTCATTTCAAAATCCTGAGCAAAATATCAAGTTAAAGAGTATTTGCTTAATTTTGGTCATAATCTGGCCAATGTGATTGTACTTCAGTGGCAATACTGCCCATGATCAAAGAGGAATATCACACTCTCACAATAGCTATAATCACTGAACAAGTCACAGAGCAGCATGCAGAAGGGGATTGTGCACGTACACATTCATACGCATGATTATGCACTGAAGCTTCTTACAGTTGTTATTACTACAGTATTTTCAAATGGCTACTCTCCTGTCACAATAGGATCCCAGAAGTGTTCCTCTTCAGGATGGCATTCGCACTGATAAAAATTAGGGTTTATAAGGGTTGCAGCCCTTTACAGAGCCTAAAAAGAATCATTCACCCCTAAATAACAGGTCACTCATGTTCCCTTCAATGATGCCTCCTTTCCACTGATGTGGTGCCTAATTTAGAAGGACTGCCACACATAGAGTATTCCTGGTACCAATAGCTAGCAGTGCACAGTAGCATAAAGTTGTTGGAGTCAAAGTTGAAATTATTTAGTGGCTATCAGAGAAATTCACATAAGTTAGGTCAGTCATGGTCTCTTTCCTGTGGAAGTTACTTCAAATGCATAAACCTGTAGACTGCTACTCAAAAGGTACCAAAGCAGAACTAGCTGCAGACCGGTACCACATCAATGGACAAGCAGTATTACAATTCTCTGTGGGCCATGTTGCATCTTACACCTCTTTCTTGCTGCTGCGGTGTGCACAATTTACATTACATGGTTTTCTAATACAAAAACTTCTGAGCTTTAAAGTGCTCCATATATACTAAATATCGTGTTTGGGGAAGGTTCGCATTTATTTTATACTTTTTGAGAAGGTTCTAAAAACGTATATGCCCAGTTTTACAAAAGAAACATTACTAGAATGAATGAAGTGACCCAAGACTAAAACTTCACAGACCTGATGTGCCTGAGAGGAACTTCAACACACTGGAGATGAGTGAAAGGACCAGTGGATATCTCATAGCCAGTGTATCAGATCAGTCATAAAAATCCAAATATTGGCACTTTATTTTAAACATCAAATATTACTAATCGTCACTGGTATTTTTGAATGTACAACGCAAACGATGAAGTTCACTTTTTTGTACAGCAGTCACTTCCTGGATGATTTCTGTTTGAGACTAAGCGACCTCATTGAACCAAACACTTTCCTTCCCAAATCCCTCAGTGATCGGGAGCGCTGAAGGGGCAGCCGTGGAGGTGGAGAAGGAGAAAGTGAAGGGGAGGAGAGAGGAGAGAGTGAATGGCAGCTGCCTTCTAGGCTCTGAGAACGAGAGAGGTTAAAGAGGCTGGCGGTGGAAGACAGCCGTTTGTCCTCCTCCTTCGCTCTCAGTAGTCTGACCCCTTCGTCTTTTCTGATTCCCATGCCACCATGCCCCACGTCCAAGGAGGAGACCCAGTGTGGCCGCTTTGTGGGCTCTTCGCTGTGGTTCCGAGGTACCAGCAAGCCCTGGGATTCACTCCTGAACAGAGCCCGCCTGGAAAGCTTGAGGCTTGAGCTGCGTCTCTCCCCATCATCTTTACCTCTCTTCTTTGAGAAGACAGGAGAGTTGTCTACTTTAGGCCTTTTGTCACCGCTGCTAGAAGCTTTAACCCTTCTGTGCTCTCTTCTCCAGCTTCCCACGCTGTTCGTTCTCCAGCCATAGCCATACTCTGCCCTGTCTATCTCCTCTCTTTCACTTTCAGACTCTTTGCTCCAGAGGCGTCCGTCAAAGCCCTTCCAGAGTTTGCTGGAGGACTTGTTGGATGTGTGAGCGGCTGCTCGCAACTTCTCCTCCTCCTCACGCCAAACTGAGCTGTAGTCCTCTCTCTTTGCATAACTGCTAACTGTTGCTGCCCTGATCAGCTTATGGGAGGCATGTTTTCCTCTGTAGAGCCCATCACCCTCCGCCCTCTTCTGCCTGCTGTTGCCCTCGCCTCCTCCACTGCTCTGCCGAAGTGATCCTCCTCTTGGTTGGATCCCGCCATGCTCAAAAGGAGAGGTCCTGGTATTGGTGCGGGGCAGGGAGCACTGGAATGGTGCATCTCGTCTGAAAACAGAGAGGGGAGTCGCACCCAGGGGGGATGGTTGGAGAGGGCGTGGAGGTGAGCGACCTCTTGGGGTAGGACGGGAGGCAGGTGAGGAGGCTGTGGAGGAAGGAAGGTCAGGTGTCTGTTGGTAGTGGGAGTGTGAGGAGTAGTGGGAGGAGGGAATGTGCATGGATTGGTAGGGGTGTATGGGGCTGCTGGAGTGTGAGAGAGGAGGGGTGAGGCTGGACTGAGACTGTGGAGAATGAGTGACACTGAGAGACAGCTGTATTGGTCTCTGGGGATTCAAGTCTGTCAGTCTAGTATAGTCATGTGACTGATCTGTTTGAGCTGTCAGGTGAGTTTTAGTGTGGCTTCTCATCTCACCTGCAGTATCTGTTGGGAAGCAGTCAATATCTAGCTCCACGCCTTGTTCCATGAGTCCAACTACAACAGCTCGAGACAGGCCAGAGAGGCGGGAGATCTCCTCCACCATGGGCGAGTCTTCACTTAACTTTGGACTGGAGTTGGACTCCTGGATCAAGCTGCTGCGCTGAGATCCGGGAGCTGATCCTGCATTTGTGCCAAACACTGGCTGTCCAGCCTCAGGTGGAGCACCACTGCTCCAGTCTAATGAGCGACAGAAAGCTGATGAGCCAAACCCAGAGCTGGCTCCAGACCCCAGTGGGACCTCAAGGGAGCTGCGGTGGCTCAGGCTGCTTGGACAAGTTGAAATGCGAGGACGAGGTCTCATTGCTGGGGTGGGTGTAGCAGAAGAATGTGATGAGGCAGAAGCGGTGGAATTGGCCGCAAAGTCTCTCCTCAGAGCTCCGTTTCTGGGATTGTCCACTAGCCCATGACCAGAATTTAAACCAGGAGTCAGGTTCAAGTTGAGGTTTAGATGCAGATTTATGTTTAAGTCTTCTCCGGTGGCTGAAGGAAGATTTCCCAGGTTGATTGAATTCCTGGTGCCCTTTTTTCCGGTGGTGCTAAGGCTGACTCTGGCTGAGTTCCCTAGCAGTGACTTAGAGGGTGTGATGTTGACGCCTGGCTGGGTGGAGGGTGTGCTGCGGCTCTCGAAGGCAGAAAGAGACTGGGTGGATCCGTGAGTTTTGCCAGGGGTGCAAAGGCCTCTGTGTGTTACTGGCCCAGGGGTGGCAGGTGAGGTGAGATCAGAGGTGGACTTTGCCCGACAGTGGTACTGGCGAGCCAGACGAGAGATGTACTGCTCCAACTGGGTGAAGGAGGGTGGAGTGGGAGGTTGCTGAGGCTGGAGAGGCAGAGCTGTGTCAGCATTTGACTCTGTGGGTTCATCATGCTGGGGTCCCTCAGGGCTCACAGAGGCTGACTGTTCTTGATTCTGGGTGGTGAAGAGGGGGCTTTGGAGGGCAACAGCATGCAGTGGGCTTGGGTATGAGTAAACCTCTTTGGTCCGACGGGACATCAGGTCTGTGCAGTAGCGGGAGTCAAGCTGGAGTTTTGAATTTTGGGAGCAGGAGGTGGAGGAGGAGGATGAAGGGTTGAGGAGCGGGAGGATGAAAGAAATCAGGGAATCGCCAAGTCCTGAACAAAGTTCAGACAGAAAGGTCAGACCAGTTGCTTCAAGGTCATTTGGGACTGTAAGAGACAGAGAGAAAAAAAAACTTTAGACTTCAGTGGACATTTCAAGGTATTTTCACTTACAGTTGAAACCTCATATCTACATGGACTGATTTACAAGATAGGGATCTATTGTTTGCACCAACTCACCAGAAACGGGCGTCTCTTCTGTTGGTTCAGCGTCCTCCTGGCTGTCCTGGAGTACAGGTTGCTGCAGCTGCACTGCAACTTCTGGCCACAGGAGGTCAGTGTTGTCAGCACACGCAGGAACCTGCTCCCACAGCTTCAGGGGCCTGGCAGGGGCCACCGGTCCTCCATGGGCTGCGTCGCTGGACACAGAGTAGCAAGAGTCTGACAGGGAGCTGCCGCTCACTGAATAGAAACCTTGAAAAAAAGACACGGACATTTGTAAAAGAGGCATTTCTTTGTGGATTTTGAATGTTCTCCTCTCCTCCTTCTAGGTTCAGCTTCCTTCCACCATGCAAGGATGTACATTCAGGTTAATTATCAATTCTAAACTGGCCTTAGGTGTGAATGTGAGCACGTATGTCTGTCTCTCTGAGTTAACCCCATAGTGAACTGGTGACCTGTCCAGGGTGTATTGCACCTCTCGGATAGACTCCATATAGAGAAAATAACTCGACTAAACCGATAACACACAAACTGTAGTTATCTTCCTTTTATTAAACACACAGTGACTGACAGGAAAAGTAAACAAACCTGTAGATTTATTAACTAAATCCACCTCTTAATGAACTCTATTAGATATTTTCCTGGGCTGTAACTGCTCAAGAAATCACTTTAATTCAATGTTCCTTCACTGAATGTGTGTCTCAAAGCTGTGAAACTCCTCCATCCTGCTTTACATTTAGGATGAAGTTATAATCATGGTGTGTGGCAACATTTTTCCTCCAAACAACCAGATTTTGCCCCATCTGTCCACAGAGCATAGCCTCAAAAAACGCCGTGGCAAACAATAGCGGCTTTTGCATAGTGGTGGTTTCCCTCATGATTCCCACTACTTCCATGAACACTCATTAACCTGTAGTGATTTCTGCATACTGCCTCTCTTTTGCTCTTCTGTTACTCTTGGATTCTTTTTCACCTCGTTCAGGCTTGTACGTTGTGCTCTTACTGTGACGTTTACAGGACACCCACTCCTTTGAAAAGTAGCAGCGGCCTTGAATTGTATCCATTTTTAGGTAGTCGTGTTATAGATTAATGAACACCTTTTGCAATCTTTTAAAGCTCCCTGCGTTTCTAAAACATTTCTGCTAAAGCCCCATGGAGGTATATGATTGCAGTATGCTTCCCAGCGATCAATCTTTCTTAAGATGAACAGACTTTGATATTTATGGCCTTCTTTAAAAAGAGAATCACCCCTACAGTCCACATTTCCAATCTCATCACCTTAACTGGAACAGCTGATTCAAAGGTTCGATTGCTTTTGTCAGCCTGCACTGTTAGCAGTCAAATACTCTTTGTCTCTTACTGTGACTTAGATGAAGCTCAGGCCACGGTTTATGAGTCAGAGCAGAGACATCAGTGCTTCCACAAGATTCACAATCCCTTCTGCATTCGGATAAATAGGTGAGTCAGTAAAAACAAGCTACCATCACCTATAGAAACTCAAACCTCGTAAAAATTCCAAAAGAAAAGCGTCACAGTGCAGAAACCACTGTTAGACATGCAGTGTGAGCCATGAACACTTAGACTTATCCTGAAATTACATTTTTACTGACTAAAGAATGGACAAATAAAAATCATTTTGATTTTAAAAGAAAATCTCTCTATATATTATCATGTCTTTAGGTTTGATAGATTTTCCAGAGCATAAATAATAGTGGATTGAAAAGTGGGTGAGAGTCTATACCTGGCCAAGAAAAGCTTTCAGAGGAAACAGAGAACGGATAAGAGTTTGAGGAGAGGCTAAAAAATGTTGACAGCAAGAGACAAACTGAGTGAGTCAGTGCCGAGTCACACAGAGTGCAAGCAAACAAAAGTAAAAAAGAGACGTGGTTAATGTTTCATGGAAATTCTCTCAAGGTGAGCTGTAGTTCTATCAGGAGGTGAGAAACTGTTGGATCATTGGACAGCTCAGCGCCGTTGTCTCAGCCGTCTGACATTTAAACCGCCCGAAAGAGGTGTTCAGGTGTGTAATTACCTGAACTAGGTCTGGAGTCGCTGTCCAGGGGGATCATACCATTAAGATCCGGGGTTGGAGGAGAAAGCAAGTCAGAGGGGGCATCCCAGGAAAGAGTGGACCAACGTGAGCTACTCCCTCTGCCCGATGAGAGGTGAGCTGTCCCGTCCCCTGAATTACCCCCGCATTCCTCTGGGCTGCTCTGACAGGCGGTGTCAGAGGGAGAAGGATCCTAAAAAGAAAAGAAGAACAGTAGGTGACGATGGATGATTCATTCACACAGATAAAATGGAAGTAAGGGTTAAAACCACAATAAAAAATCAAAATGACACATGATCGTCATCAAAATGTTTGTCAGTGGACAACTGGAAAAAAACACGACTCATATTAAACATACTGGCTGTTGAGATTTTTTTACTAAACTGCTCTTTGCAGGCCTAAAACTTAGCAAGCATAAAATAACGTTACTTTTTATGCATTTGTTCTTCAGTTGCAGGTTAGATACTGAAAATGCATAGCATACAGCAGGAGTGTGCAAATCTGACAAGAGTGATCGAATAACAACACGATTTTACCAGAAGTCGGGTATATTGATTTACTGTCACTTAAGATATGAATGCAGCAAACATGAAGTAAATGGATGGACTGCTATCTAAATAAATTGCTTTACTGTTATTGGCTTCCCAAAACACAACAAGCTACACTTCACACTCACACACACATTCATACAGAAATGGATGCTTTGGGAGGCAAGTTAAAGTTCTTCCCAAGCATATTCCAGCATCCAACTGGAGGACTCAGGTATTGAACCACCAACCATCAATAAGAAACAGTGGAAGGAAAACTAGAGATTAAAGATCAGCTCTCATGGGTATATATTTGGCTAATATTTAGCCATGGAAACTGCATTAGGTGCATCCATTCAGCTACTTGTTAACACAAATATCTAATCAGCCAACTGCATGGCAGCAGCTCAGTGCATTTAGACATGCAGACGTGGTTAATACAACCTGTTGAACCTCAAACTGAGCATCAGAATAATGGAAGAAAGGTGATTTAGGGAACTCTGAACGTGGCACGGTTTTTGATTCCATACAGGCTGGTCTCATTATTTCAGAAACTGCTGACCTACTGGGATTATCCAGCACTTTCGTCTCCAGGGTTTAGAGAGAAGAGTTTGAAAAAGAGAAAATATGCAGCGAACAGTAGTTCCCTGGGAGAAAATGCTGCGATGATGTAAAAGATCAGAGGAGAATGGTCAGACTGCTTCAAGCTGACAAGAAGGTAACGGTAACTCAAATATCCACTCCTTACAACCAAAGTATGCGGAAGAGCATCTCCGAACACAAAACACATCCAGTGTGTTCTGCAGCTGCAGCAGAAGACCACACTGGGCGCTACTGCTGTCAGCCGAGAACGGGAAACTGTGGCTCTAAGTTGGACCAATTCACGAAATAGAACAGCAATCGATTGGAAAAACACTGTCTGGTCAAAAGATTTCTGCCTCTGCTCTGTTTGGATAGTAGGGTCCAAATTTCGCACAATGAGTGAGAGCACGGATTCACCCTGCCTTGTATCGTTTAGGCTTCTAGTGGTGGTGTGATGGTGTGGAGGATATCTTCTTGGCACTTTTTGTGCATCATTTTAACACCGCAGCCTACCTGACCATGTTCATGCCTTTATGAGACAGTGCACCATCACCCATAAATTCACTCAAACGTCCTCCACACTTACCAGATCTCAATCCAATAGAGCACCTTCGGGGAAAGGGGTAGAGTAGAAAAGCACTATATAGGAGCCAGCTCATTTACCATAAAGCTTCATAAAGAATAATTTAATTAGATTAATACTCAAGTTTACCTAGTTGATAGATGCGTGGGGGAGAATAAAAAGCATGCAGAGGTCAAAACTTTCTGAATATGAAAAAAAAGAAAACCCTGAAAAAGGTTGGATAAAAACAGTGTTGTTACAAAAAAACTACAATATATTCCTTGGAAACCTAGTAAGTTAGAAGAAGAAAGTATTCTAGATGTTATTAAGCATTCAAGTATACTTTCCACCAGTGACAATAAGGATACTGCTTTAAAAACACAGCTTAACCCTCTGCATGTTTTGGTCCAGACCCACGTGAAAGGGCTGTGCATTCACAATATCATTTACCAGCCACATGCTCCAGCAACGTCACACCACACTTACTGGAACAGTCAGAAATGAGGCCTTGTGCACAACAAGAACAAGAATAACAATCAGCCCATCAAGTTAGCAAAGTGCCTCCATTTTCCAGATTAGTAAGAGGGCAGAAGAGTAACCCCCCCTTCACCCTCTTCCAAATCCCCAACCCATCCCTTTAGGACTGCAGCCAAAAGCCCCTGCATTAGTGTGATCAGGCCCAAACAACAGAAACACTGTGAGTGGTGCTGCTGATCAATCCTGTGGTTACTGAGGAAACAATACAGGTAGTGACTCACTGGGGTGACAGGAGAGGAGGGGGATTCAGAGGATAATGGGAGAAGACAGATGACGTAACAAAGAGCTGCCAGAGCGGCAGAAGGTAAAAAGGGGGATGGACTGTGGAGGAAAGAGAGAAGGAAGGAAACTGTGTGAGAGTTTCAGACTTTGACCAGTCTTCGGCTTATCTCTCCCTCTCAGGTCAGTGAGATCCTGTCCCCCTCCTCACTATTTTTTATTTTTTTTTGTTTCCCTGTGAATCTACAGCGAGTCGTGGCTGAGTGGGTGACCAAAACTAAGTGCGAGGGACAAAAAAAGAGACAGAGAAATAGCGGAGTGAGTCACTGAGTGAGTGAAGGCGGTGAAGGGAGAGTGAGGTGAGGTGAAGGGGGGGGGTGGGCGGTTGCCGGGCGAGAGAGAGGGGCATCTTGAAGGACCCCCACCTCCCCCACAGGCCCCTTAACAAATAACCCTCCTCCTTCTGCTATAATATCCTTCGAGCCAGCCACCCTCTACTCACCATAGCTACAGCTGCTCGCTCTCTAACTCGCGTTCGCTTCTCCTCCCACACAGACCCACAACAGCACAACAGGCCTGGCGAAATATTTAACTCAATCCTCAGCCTGAACACACACACATACAAACATGCAGTCCAATAGTGACGCGACTTCCTCTCACATGTATGATCTGAAAAATTCGACATTTTTAAAAGACCATTAACTTATTCTGCCTGTGCAACGATGTGAAACGCGTTTTTTAAAAGTCTCCTGAAAGGGTAAATATCTGCAACAAATCCGTGCCAGCAACACAAGGCCTTGCACGCTACGGGATATATTGTTACACAGTGACTAGCACATGATCAAATCATTGGAGAGACGGGTGATGGTTCGCTCAGAGCTCTGTAATATGATAGTCCTGCATGTGAGGGAGGGGTGCACATAGAAAATGTATGGGTCGATGGGATAATAATGCTGCAGCGACTGCACAAGCCATACACTTCTTCTTAATAGGTGCATTATGTCATCAGCGAGAACGAATTGCAGCGGTTGGCTTGTCGAGACAGAATAATTTGGTCAAATAGTGTGGGACGGCGCGAGCGATCGGTGTGAAGAACTCGCACGGTGGTCTATTTATTGTTTCATACATTATTAATATGGTATTGAAATGTAAAGACAGCCCACACTGTGAATCTTCATCTTCACTCAGCTTTCAGGATCATCCTGAAAAAATTATCAATGTTACACACTTTTGTTGTTTTACTTGGAGATACCCCGAGGCACAAAAAGGGGGGAGATGAAAGCTGTCACTCCACAAGTGAGGGGGGCTAATGACTCACCATGTAAGATGATGCTTCCCAAACCTAATTTCAAGACAGCCTTCCTTCAATGAGCGCGCACACGCCAATGTAAACACTTCTCATTAGGACCTTATCTGAATATTATTCCCATCAGTTATCGATTTATCGACTCATGATTGAGCAGGTCGTCTACTAATAAGGAGGTCGGTGGTTCAATCCAACATGAGCATTACTGGGCAAGATACTGAACGCTGACTAACCCCTGATGTGTCCATCGGAGTGTGAGTGTGTAAACGTTAGGTTAAAAGTGCTTATCATTTAAAGCAGGGGTCTCGAACTCCAGTCCTGGAGGGCCGGTGTCCTGAAACTTTTCCATGTGTCCCTGTTGCAACACACCTGAATACAATTAGTAGGTCATTAGAAAGAGTATAGAACTGGACTGCATGCTGAAGTGGCAACCTCTAACCCTACTCAAGTAAATGTAAGTAAATGTAAGTGTTTTACTTCTAACAGTACTTTTATTGCACCATGTTCATTCACTCATCAGCTGCTGTAACATGAATCAAATGGCTGAATTGTCACTTCAGCATGCAGTCACGTTCTACAGGGTCTTGCTATTGACCTACTAATTGTATTCAGGTGTGTTGCAACAGGGACACATGGAAAAGTTTCAGGACACCAGCCCTCGAGGACTGGAGTTCGAGACCCCTGATTTAAAGAAACGTGAATATGTGACTGAGGCTTGTAGCAGTGCTGTTCAATACTGCCAAGTAAAGACAGGTCCAGTATGACTGATATCAGTACCCATACCTATAGTTTAAACTTATAAAGGCAGGCTAAATTATTAACTTAAAGTAATTTAGAGGATAGAAACAAAGTATCGATTCTGTCGCGCTAGTATCGATATGATACCGGTATCATTGGTATCGATACTACTGATATTTGGATCAACCTGCTCGTCTCTAGCTTGTAGTAAGAAAGCACTCTGTGTGTTTAATGTGAGTAGAAAAGCGTTATATGAGTATCACCGGCTGTTTGCGCTTAATCATGAAGCTCAAAGATATTCAGCTTTCTGCAAGAAACGACAGCTGATTTCCACATTTGACAAGCTTTAATCAGTCCTAAAAGATTTCCTTATTACAGTAGCTGCTGATTAATTTCCTGTCTATTAATTAATCGTTGCAGTTCTGCTGTGCGTGTGAATTAATTAAAGCTCTGCAGCATATTCCCTCCTTCTCCCACTCCTGTTCTCGATGTGTTATGTTCAGCGAGGAGATTTTTATTTTTAAACTCTGAACGGCAATGAGCCGGAATCCGCCATCGTGGCCTTGATGCTCATTTCGAAAGCAAAAAGTTATGTTTCTTCTAGTTTCCAGATTAGATGTCGTTTCAGTAACTCAAAGCTTGTTCTCTCCATACAACAGATTGCGCAGATCTGAATTATTCATAGTATTAATGCAAATTAAATGTGTTTTCTGTCCATTCTACAGAACCACTGCTCTGTTTTTTTTAAAACATTTGTTCAAAAGCCGACATTCTTTAAAATACTCCCTCATTTTAAACTGCATTTTTCAGCACGGATGACACCACGGCCGTAACAGTCAGCCATAACCCTGATGTGCGCAGTTGTGGCTTCTATCCTCCTCTTTCTGCTGCTAGAGAGAAAAAATGTGAATCATATTTCAAGAGTTTATTAAAAAAGAAAGAAAGAAAGAAAAAAAATCTAGTGTTGCGGTAGAGCACATTATGCTATGAGTCACCAAATCCTTGGCTTACAAAAAAGGCTGAACAACCAATGATTTCCAAAGTAATGAGTAGTGTATACAGGGAAAATGAATATAATGGGTTTACATATAAAACTGTATGTTGATTCTAGTAAACAAAGCAGTAGGTAACCGTCAACTTTCCCTTCCTCGTTCCCTCTCCATCTGCAGCTACATGTCGCAACAAGACAGAAATTTGTTTCCCTTTTATGCAAATGTTGTTTTGTGTGTGCGTACCATGTTTACATATCTTTGTTTTGACCAAAAATTGGAACGTTACTACACTTGTGGGGACCAAGAACCCTTATGGGGACAAAATGCATGTCCCCACGAGTTTGTAGGCATTTTTGAGGCTCAAAATGTGGTTTTAGTGTCAGGGTTACATTTAGGTTATGCTTGTGGTTATGGTTATGGCTGGGAAAGCATTATGTCAATTAGATGTCCCCATAAGGATATGAAAACACAACTGTGTGTGTGTGTGTGTGTGTGTGTGTGTGTGTGTGTGTGTGTGTGTGTGTGTGTGTGTGTGTGTGTGTGTGTGTGTGTGTTGGTGAAGGCCAGCCAGGGCAAAGGGCAGCGTGCCAGCCTGCTTGCTCTGCTACATCGGCAGCTCCCTTCAGAGGTGAGAATGAGCAATGCTGCTCGGCCTCTCCACAGGATTTCTCAGCACCACGGGAGGAACTACAGATGAGATGTTGGTGGGTGGGTGGTGAGGAAGGCGGCACGTTATGAGAAGCGCTTCCATGCGGATGCCCTCTCTCAGATGGGACTGCAAAAAAGCTCTCTCCCATCACTTTTTATTTCAAGTGTTTTCCGCTTCTCCTCTGCAGACTATTTGTGGGGATACAATTTCATTTCACTCTGTCAAAAATAAATAAATACAATATTCTGCAGATGTGACCTCAGCTGTAGCCTGGCTTAAACAGAACATGTATTAATATGCTGCAGGCTGCTGACTAATACCGCTCACTGGTATCAGGAACACATATTCACAGTGTAATAACAGGTTGTGTAAAGCCACCATGATGAAGCATTTGTTACTTTCTCAGAACGAGTGTTATTCCTGTAGCTGTCGACGGCATTGTTTCATATCACAGCAGACCATGGAAACAATCCGGAGATAACATACAGTATTTGGTGAAAAGTAGCAAGCACTGCTGGGCAGTTTGTTTGTAAAGCAGCAACCTTTAGTTCTGAGGAAAACAGGTCTGCACATAGTATCTACAACAAAATCCCTTCTGTAAAGAATCTGTTTTTGTGAAACTGGGCATCTGTGCAGTGGAGGTTACTGTGATGCTTCAGACTTGTGGGTTGTGGTGCTGCCTGGCTCTGAAACTATTTATCATTTTCATTAAAATGTAACGTAAATTTGGCATTTGCTCAAATTCCAGCCTGAACCCATCACCTGTTTGTCAAGTCTGGAAATGTTCCAGGTATAATCCACATTGTACAAAGTAACACACCACTTCATGTGCAATGCAGTGAAGTTTCAGATTACTTTTGCTTATTTTTGGTATTAAAGTTGCTGGAAAAATGTTTGTTTTATTTATTTATTTTTTAGATGGCTGTGAATACCATAAAAAAGGTGTTTAAACTTGAAGCCAGTCATTGCAATCAATGTCCATCCATCAATGTTTTCTAGCATATAATGCCTGATGTTCATGTTGCATGTCTCCTTTAACCAACAATCAAAAACCAGAAAATATTTGTTTAATATCAAAAGACAAATTTAACAAGTTGAAACAGTGGTCATGTCTAATATTTTCAACATTATATTTCTGTTTATAACACTGGTCATCCTCTTCCTGTGCCCTCTTGCCCATTGCCATTTTACATTTATTATGTTTTGTTAAAAACACACACACACACACACTGATGGATGCACCCACAGTCATCTTAATCATCTCATTTTTGGCCGATTTTACATCTTGATGACTCCTCAGCTTTAAATGTAGATCACCAATAACGGAGCAGACCAGCTACGGCCCCGGGGCCCATGCCTCAGGATGAGACCTGTTCTCATCCTGTCCTCCTGTATCAGCCTACATGTCAACCCACATTCTCCACACAAAAGACCTGCATATCCATTTCAGGGCAGGTTTGGGGAAATGGGGTTAAATGGGTGTTTAGAGACAGCCTAACCCTCTTCAGGTTGGTCACACTCCACTGAACATACACACTTTAAAAAAAAAAATAGGCAGCGCACTTTTTAGACAAAAAGTGGAGGGGCTGGTATTTAGAATGTGATCAGAGTAATTGTAAATGCAAACGGAGAGCCAAAGTGACCTTTGGAGAGCTTATGGTCCTGAGCCAAAAAATGCAGCGCTGGCTTGTGTATTAATACCTGCACCTGATTTGAGCGCCACATGTTTCTTTCTAACCATGAGGCAGGGCACAGAGCCAGAGCTGGTCCCGGTTTCCTGACCTCAGTGACATTTGCTCCATGTCACACACACACACGTACACACTGCATGCCTGGCTTGATCTCTGGCACCATCACATTCAATTGAGTATTCAGCTCTCGGCACAGCCGTGCGCTCGAGGCAGCGATAAAATCTGTCTAGTGAGTCGCAGAGGGACTGGCTTTTTGGCAGATCACCATCGGCCCTTCATTCATATTTAATCATCTGTCTGTGGATCCGACCTGTGAGCTGACAGACGTACTGACTGACCTGTTGCCGGCGGGATGTCGCAGAGCCATGCTCGCCATCCATTGCGCCGCTTTCCGAGGTCTCTCTCCCCTCCTCCTCCTCCTCCGCCGCCCGTGGATCCTCAGCGTTGGCGGCAACGGGCGGTCGATCCTCCAGAGCGGCGTCCACCATCTCCAGGTGTTTGCACCTGAGCACCTCCAGCTCCATCACTCCGGCCAGCGTCGCTTTGAGGCGCTCTCCGATGCGGACGCGCTCGGTGCCCGACCAGAGCGAGTTCACGCATCCGCGGCGGGCGGCCATCCTCCTCAGGGCGCACCGCTGACCACCACTCAGTTACCGCACACCGGGATAAGGGAAGGAACGGACTAGGGTCCAGCACCAGGTAGAGCCACACAGGTCCGAATGAGGGATTTCAACATAGCAGCTGCTTGGTTTAACGCAACATCAAGGATAGCGGCTCATTCTAACGTGCAGTGTAGCCTCGCGGCTTCAGGCAGCCCCGCTGACTGACTGACACAGGGCTGGAATTAATGAATCCACCGGCAGACTGAAGACACCTCAACGAGCCATGACTCATACTATCCCAGGTTTTCATTTCCGCTCGACATTGTCCATTTTTCCTTCCCCTGTCACTTTAAAGCTCGCAGGTCCGCCGGAGTTGTCCGCAGCGCTGGACTCCGTGCGCTGCGTCCCCAATGAGACAATGCAACAGAGAGGCAGCGATAGCGTTACATGTGGGAGCAGGCAGAGGGAGAGGGGAAGGAGGAGCCAGTGTGCAGGAGCTGCACACGGATTGGACGACCAAGTTTTTTCGAACGGACGCAAGAAAATTCCCAGAATGTCCAACTTCAGCGCGCAGGATCGCAGAGGACAGATGCACTGTTTCCTCAAGTGTTCATCCAACTATAGCAGTAGAAAACACCCCAGCACCCACGCTCCGAGCAGCACACTGTGCACATAATCAGCAGGGTCGTTTCTCTGCTCCACTTTTTAGCCCATGTTTTGACCCCTAAACTGATTTTTTTTTTTTTATGTAGAAAAGTTGAATTTTTAATGCGCTGCAAGTGTTTTTTTTCCATCGGCTATAACTTGAAACTTGCACGTATTTCATCTTAAAAGCTGCAGCTATGCAAGATTTTATCATCTCTGCAAGATGGGGAGTAGAGCTGCGATAAGAAGCCACGTGACCCAGTATGAACAGCTTTATTTGCCTGCGTTGACGTTTCTGTAAGAAAAGTAGAATTTTAACTCCATTACATTTAAAACTAAGAGTCTTTGTTCTACTTCAGAAGCTCACTAGATAAACACCTTTTGTGTAAAATGCTGTCTTGTCATGTGACTTCAAACAATATTAGATATTGAGGGAATGTGTGACTAATTTAATAAGAAGATATTGCAGCAGTAATCTGATTACTTTGAGGAGTGCTTTTCTTTGAGATATAATGTGTATAATGTTAATGTGGCTATTTTCTTCACTGATACATTGCATAGAGTTGAATACTATAATCCGATGCCTGCATTAGTGAAATCTATACTCTATAGTCTTATTGAATGCACATATCAAAGGACGATCTTTGTATTCCAAGCGAAGTCTTTAAGCATTTATCCCTTCTATCGCATGTAACTCTATAGCTAAACAGCACACATGAGAGATGCTGCTCACCCACACAGAAGCCTGCATTTGCTCTGTCTGATTACGCCTCCTGTCATTTGGAGTGTTGCTGACATTTACCTACCTATTTCCACTAAACATTATGCTTTAGAATAATTGCAGGGTAAATAAATGAAAGCAGCTGTGTTTGCCATCCATCCAGTTTCTTTCTCCCTGGATTCTTATCCGTCTAATTCAGGGTTTGGGGTGGGTGGAAGGCGGGGATGAGAGTGGAACATATCCTAGTTGTCACATGTGATACGCTAATAGTCAAATAGCTTCAAGTTTTAAAAGCTGCTTATACTTTCTTATATGTATAGTAATAAATCATTATAGTTTACGACCTTCTGCTAACATAAGGAAGAGACTGAGCACAGGAATTGTGCTGAAGCAGCTTCACAAAAATAAAGTTCCTACGTGTGGTGAATGAGGGTTACCAATGGTTACCAGTCAAGGTGAATCAGGCCCCCTCTCTGGGGGCAAAGTTTGACCTTATATGGGGAAAAAATCACAACAAAGTTTTTATCCTCTTCTTTTCTTGGGAAAAAAATGCACAGCTAACACAAAAGTGCTTTAGTTTCAGCATCGTTGACACCGTCGTGATATCTACTAGTAAAAGTATGCACTCTGCAAAAAGGGTCTTTCCCTATTGTTTGTTTGCTTGCCTGTTTTTTGTACTCTAGGGTCTTTATTTTACAATATGAAGTTCCTTGAGGTGACTGTTGTTGCAAATTTGTGTTAAACAGATACAACTGAACTGACTTGTTTGTCACTTTTGTGGTTTTCTTGCAACTAAACAGTTTGGATCTTTTAAAATCTTCATTTATTTTGTGATGACAAATAGCATAATCCTAAATTACCTTGTGCTGAGTGACATTCAGTGACCTCTGAGCACTATTTGCTCTCAGAGTGAGCTACCCTGGCCAGTCTGCTGTGTTTACTGTATGTGACATGTGGGCAGCTTGGAGTTGGCAGGCATGGGAGGAGAGGATGCCAGAACGGAGCAACACTGGCTCCACCCACAAGTTTCAGTTGTCTTACTACAGAAGAAGGTTAAAGCCTCAGAAAAAATAATGTTGTGTCATGAATCATTTTTTTTTTAAATCTGAAAGAAATCTGAGATTAAATCAGAATTCACAGGAAACAGTCAGAATTATGACTTTATTCTCATCAATCGGATTTTTTTCTTTCATTTCTGACTTTTTCTCTAAAATCTGACTTTCCTCTGAAGTCTGACTTCTCAGAATCCAGATTTAAACTCAACATTTCAACTTTAATCTCAGAATTATGATTTTCTTTTCTCACTTTATTCTAAAAATATTGAGAATAGCCTAGTGATATAATAAATGAGAGTAAAGTCAGAAATCATCTCTCGAAATGAGAATTTTGACTGTTTCTCAGCATTACATTTATTTATTTATTTTTTTAAATTCGGACTCTGTTAGTTGGATTTATATTCTTTTAAATGTACTTCATAAAAATTTTAAAAAGCATAAAGTCGTCAGTTTGGGGGGACAAACTGACAAGAGTTTTTATCACTCCACTAAGAATGAAGCCACTGGGGAAAATGTCATGATAGGCATAGGTGAGCGTCTCCTCTGCAGTGCAGGGGACCTTTGGGCTACCTTCCATCCAGCAGAGGGCAATCTTTATCCAGAGTAGAGCAGCTGTCCATTGCTGCATGAGCTCCTTAAAGAGAAATGCATTGTTCATAACTCAGCTGACAGTTTATTCACAATGGTTTCCACAAAATCTGAACTCACATTTTTGTAAAACTAAATATAGTTAAATTACAGTCTTTGTGGAACCAACATAAATAGCTGTCACTGTGATGATACTTGCTGAACTCTTGTTGCAAAATACTAGTTTTAGCTCCATAACAAACTGACAACTCCAGTAAATTCAGGAGGGAAGCAGCTTTCATGCAGATTTTAGAGCTTCCAAAAGAAAGAGAAGTGTAAAGAGACTGAATAAATCAAAATAATACAGCCCCAGTTAATATAATGATAATAATAACACTTTAATATTATTATTAGTGTTATGTGTAAAGCAGAATTGCAAAGTGCTTCTGGCAAACAAAGAATAAAAGAACAAACTAAGAGAAAATTATAAAAACAATTTACAAATCAGTTAAAATGGGCCACACAGCATTCAAAAATGACAATACGAAGAAGATACAGTGTGACCTGCTGTAATAACTTAAAATGAAGACAAAAACTATCTAAATGTTAAAAGAATCAGCAGAGTATGCCAAAAATCTACACAAAAACGGATACCAACAGATATCATATACATGATATAAACAAGTCTTTGGCAGTGATTTAAAAGAAGACGCTGATGAGGCAAATCAGACTTCATCAGGCCGGTCAGTCAACAACTGATGAAGCTCGACAGCCAAAGCACAATCGCCCTTTGACTTTAGATGTGATGTGGAAACAACTACAGATTTCTGCCTGAGGATCTAAATGAATGTCTCTGTGTCCATATGTGTGAAACACACACAGCACTTAAAAAGGTAATAAGATAACATTTGGAGCTTGCAGATGCTGCAGACATGAGTTACACAGTGCTTCCTGTAATTAGAAGCACACAGGATCAAGTCACTGTCATCACTGGTGCTGGCCATTGTTAGTCAAGGGTAAAAGTTTAGCTTAACATGGGTTAAATGTTCTAAAGATGACCATGGTGTCCTACGTCAGACACTAAGTGAAAGGATAGAAGTATGGCTCATCTAGTTTTTGAGTGTGACAGTTTGGGTTGTGCAGCTTTGTTTAGGAACCTCTGCTTCTCTTGGAGGCGGGCCTCCTTCGTTACGCTGTGTTCTTCACATAGTGTCCTCCTCTGCGTACGTGACAGCAGAACCGAAATCACAAGCCGACGTGAGAACACTCAGAGAGATAGCCAGTATGTGTGAATCTGTTCTGAAGAGGACACACACACACACACACACACACACACACACACACACCTCTGCATCCATACACACTTCTCCCCGGGACGGGGAGCGTGTCCTTGTTTGCTGGTGTCACATTTCGACTCCTCCCAGCCCACGCACCCTATAAAACACGAGTGGTCACCTCAGCTCGTCGGGGTTTGCTTACTTCCACCCGAGGGGACTCTGTCGTTAGCCCGGGCGAGACAGCCTCCATCACCATCGGCCTCTGCGAAACACTCAACAAAACCAAGCACAAATGGCTCCTTTTGAGAAATCTGTGGAAACGGTGCCCTTCAAGCAGAGGAAATGCCTCAGTAGGACAATTTGGTTGACCTTTCACTGAGTGGATGCTGTTTTTAAAGCATGTGTGTAAAATATGGTCTTCAAATTATTATTTTTTTTTTTCTCTAGCAACAAGAAAAAATGAAGTGTGCAGCATTCGGTCTAAATTCCCCAACAAGCTGCCTGTAAGTTGATTCAGACTAAGATGTTTTAAAGACATAATAGATGCGTGTTGTTGAACTTCCTGTTAAAGCAGACGTGTTTTTGCTTTTAGGTGATTGTCGAACGTTACATCCGTGAAAGGACCCTTCCCCTGTTGGACAAAACAAAGTTCCTGGTTCCCTATGAGCTCACCTTGGGTCAGTTCCTCTGCCTGCTCAGGTACGTCATCTGTGACTCACAGCAGGTTCTTTTGTTCTGATTTTTAAATCCCTTTTCTTCTCCTGCAAGTTGTCAGATTTGTCATTCTTCGCCATGCCTCTGCCTCCCTCACATTCTGTCTTTCTTTGTCCTAAAAATCTCAGTCTGCCTCTCCAACTGTCTCCCCTCCAGGAATAAAATCGCTCTGGACTCCACCCAGGCTCTGTTTCTCCTGGTGGCGGAGAAGAGCATGTCTTGCATGTCTTCCAACATGGGGGAGGTGTATACCCGCTACAGAGATGGTGACGGCTTCCTGTATATCACCTATGCCTCTCAGGAAATGTTCGGAGCTCCTCTGCAAGCAGCCAAGCGGCCCTGCTGAGCCTGAAAAGTGATAAAACGAACTGATTTGTGACCAGTGGAGACACCACACAACCAAACCTGGGGAAAAAAGGACAAACTGAGCCAAAGCAAGACTGTTCCTCCCCCCCAAAGAGCACATCTGTCTACCTCATGAAACCTCCCTGGACTTAAAGAGATAACACGAGTCTGTGGTAAAGACTCAGATTTGGTTTGGGGTAACAGGACTAATTATATTTAAGGGTTTCTATTAAAAGATATTCAGTATATAAAGCTTTTTTTTTTTAAATTAAGAAAAAAATGTAAGATTTTTCTTTTAATTTGAATGTTTGGTGTGTATTTTGTCTCTTTAAACATAAAAAAAAAAGTCTTTCTGTTGAGTTTCAATGCAGATAAACCAGTGTTTGTGTTTGTGGCAGCACTTTCCACCCCCTCCACCAGACAAAATCAGGTTAAACATTGTAACTTATAAACACTTATATGAAATCTTCCTTCTGCCCATCCCCATCTTCCCTCAAGAATGTGAAACTGTCCAGAAAACATCTTCATTACAGGAAATATTGAAGCACTCCTAGAGGTACATTTGAAGCTGCTCTGATGTGTTCTTAAATCACCAAAAAATAAAATTTTGTCCCAATAAATTATTGACCTTGTGTGATATTTCCTACACAGATTCTAAGAATACAATTTCTTTTAAATAAGGAGAAATCATCTGGAAGAACATGATTTATTGATAGAGAAATTGATGTATTTGGCAGTTAGACTCCGATGACCCATCATGGCAGAACAGAATCCCAGTGGTGATTGGATATAGAACAGGAGTCTAGGTGCTGGTGAAGATTAAGACTGAGGCTTGGATGAAGCTCTCACTGAATTGTCTGCTAGGTGGAGATGGGGAGGAGGTGGGTTACACGAATGAGTCTGAAAGGGAGAACGACAGAGAGCGTAGATTTAAACAACGCAAAGTGGATACTGATTGGCTCTAAGAAGGCGGGCAAGAAGATAATTGGACTAGAGTAATGATGACAGTATTGAGATTGACTGTATTGAAAAGCAGTAGTGATGAAGAGAAGAGCAAAACAGCCTAAAACCCAGGAAGGCAGGCAAATGAGTGATTGCAGATCTTCCTTTCTGAACTCATGCATAAGACACGCAAGATTTTTGAGGTGCTGAGTAAGACTGTAATTTCAACTGTAATTGAAATTACAGATCTGGTTCATTTTGATGGCAAGAAAGGCAAGTGAAGATTTCAGGCTTTTACCTGAAGTTTTTCGGATATCCTTGTTTAAAGATTGCATTCAGTGTGCAGAAAAAGTAGGCACACATCTTAAAAAGTGTCCAATATATGAGGTTTATTCCACAGGTCATTAAGGATGTTCAAACTACACTAATGCTGACTTGACTTATATAAGATGAGTATTTAATAGCTGCACATCTTACAGTTTGTACTCACACATAGGCTACAGGTGCTTCATTCCAAGTGGGCTTCCACATGACTGTGTTACATAAGCCTGACACAGTCAGCTCCCTGCTGGGGTCAGCATGTCAGAGGGTTGACGTGGAGTGAAAGAGAGTCAGGGGCATGGCTGGAATACAGATGAAAAACAAAGAAGCAGTAGCAGAAAACAGTGGAAGGCAAGGAAGGAAGAGGCGAAAAGGGTGACGTCCTGACAGAGGAAGGCTGGAAGACGGAAACAATGTAAAGGAGAGATATACAGTGTGGAAGAGTGGCTATCCAAACACACAGTGCACAGAGGCACAGGGATGCAGAGCCAAACAGCCTCTCTCTTCACAC